ATCCGACATCCCAATAGGCAAAAGACTCAACCACCTTGACTTATGCATATGCATCTTATCATGTTTTACTTATAGGCGCCTGGCTACTCCCATGCTAATAACTCTCCCGGGAAACATACCCCACATCCCGTCGGATGTAGTCATACATACCCCAACATCCCGTCGGATGTGGTCATACATACCCCACACCACTATGGTGTAGTCATACCCCGACACCGCTCTGGGTGTGGTCATATCTCGTAAGAATACTTCAGTCACCACCACATGAGAGGTGTGACTATCATACATATCTTAATAGAGTAATAGCATAGGAAGCCCTAATTACTATGTAGTTGACCGTGAGACCACAACACTCATATTTGGTATCCTTACATGATTCATATCTCATCTTGCTTAATCATAATTCGTTACTTGCACATGTACTTGACCTGGCCACAATTGGCTCAACATAGGTAAATCAGGAGTCGTATAATTGCACTTCCTCGGGATGAACCCTCATGCAAGTCATCCTCCTTAAACATCATAATATCACCGTGGGAAGTTTATTCCCCCACTTATGGATCCAAATACACCATAATATCACATCATGTCAAAACACCTTATCGAACAACCAGGAAGTTATATCAACAGTTAAGCCACAAATGGCAACATGTATGCAATCATCAACATAACAAGGTCCATATCGGCTAGGGCAAGTCAATAATATCATACAGCAATCCAGGGTTCAACATATAGCACAAAAGTTCATACACCCCTATCATGCCATTCTAGTTCACCTAGATCAATTCTAAGCATCAATATAATTATCGTGATACGACAAACCCGGTATGCCGTGCTAATCCCTCACCAGTTCTGGTCGTTCAAACCCCGGTTTAACCTTCCCGTACTAAAACGTCAATTTCACGAACGAACCCCGAATCAAAATCCGAGACCGCCCTAATATCCCTGCAGTATCCCCGTCAATATTAGTTCTAGGCTCCGGATCAATTCTTGATAAAAACACATCAAATCCTGGCCGAAGCTAAATTCAGCGGTTTGGACCCCGACCTAAATAATAGCCAAAATTCATGGATTAGAACTAGAGGATTAATTACCTTGCGCAGGAAGCTCGTATATGAAATTTGGGCTCAATCCGGCTTCCGGATACTCCGAAACCCTAATTTGGCTTATCGGGAATTCAAGAAATTCCTGAACAAAAAACTCGTTTTAAAGCTCTAAATCGATAAATCACGATGAGATGAATTAGGCATTACTTACGGATTTTTGGATTGCTAAAGTTCAAGAATCAAGCAGTGAAAATTTTCCCAGAAGCTCCCCCTGTGCGCGGCTCTGCTTCCGCTTCTCTCTGGGCTTTGCGAAACCGGAAATGGAAATGGCAGGGGAGGGGGAAAAGTTGTGTATATATATAGCGCTGCTGCCGCTTTTGCTTTGCATTTATTATTTATATATATATATATATATATATATACTTAATATGTATATTTATCCGATCGATCGATAATCCATTTTCGCCGAAATACTGTCGAAATGCTCGATTTTAATCGCAAACTTTCTAGCGATCGAAATATGGGTTGTGCCGGAACGGGATGTTACAATTCTCCCCTCCTTAAAAAGATTTCGTCCCCGAAATCTAACCTTGAGTCGATACTACGCATCCGCTCGTTCTCCTCCTGGCAGACACTATCACATATATTGTTACTACCTAACTCTTAGGTTAGGAGATCTGAAGTACATACTAAACACATAACACCTCAAGTTCCCATATAAGGTTTCAAAACCTACACTGGGCTATCACAACAAAACACATCAGCAAATTCAAACATAACTTATTAGGCAAGATTGTTAACCTGCAAAGTAGGTTGCCACTAACACAAGGTTATATCAACCTACAAATGGTTACCACAAATCATCAGATTCATATCTCTATTCAAATATCTACCATCACAACTCATCATGTTAGCACAGTCTAAACTTAGCTGCATTACATAGCTAGCCACCATGCTTCTCGATTGGTTAGTAGGATTTCTAGGAAAACTTCTGTGCGAGCTACAAGGAAATTTTGGCAATAACTTGATCCACACACCATTAAAAATTTCTACCAAAATCATTACTTGGACAACAAGATAAAACTCCATAAAATTTTCAAAACCTTTTAAACCATAACTTTTTCAAGATTCTTTCCAATGCTCAAAATCATTTTTGACCAAATGCAACTGACTATGCAACACATCATTACCTTTGGTCCCAATCCTGGCAAGTTTAGTGCAAATACAGGTATGGAGTACTCCCTCCCCTTTTGAGGGTGATCAGTCCTCAAGGGTGAAAGTAACACACCCATAATGCAGAAAACAAACCAGCTCTGATACCAAACTGTAACACCCTACCCTATACGTATTACCTAATCATATTGTTCATACAATTGCAGCGGAAATAATCTCGGGTGTTACATTAATTATCAAAATTTACCCAAATAAAATTTCGACATGAATTACTCGCGTAATGGGCTAACGTTCTTGCAACTTATCCTGCAAAATAATTCATCACAAACATATATACTCACAACCATATGCATTGGCTTTTCATAGCCATAATCACAGTTTCATGTTACACAACTGCATACTATACTGATACATGCCATAATCGTCACAACTTACATAATTACACAAATATACACATATCATCAACTTTTCACACCTGTGGATATCTCATACTACATCAGAAGCTAGTATGCATATGAAAAAACGTTCTCAAAACATTTTACAAAAAGGTGTGGATCACTGGCCAAATCCCGAGTAGTAGTCCAAGCACAGAATAGTTGAAGACCATACCTCATCCTGGCTTCAACTCTAGCTCCTCTCCCACCTAACACTTATCTACTGCTGCTACTGATGATCTGCTTACACATAGCATAAGCAGAGAAGAGAATAAAAAGGGTCAGCTCATAGCTGAGTGAGATAATCATAGCATCGTGAGTTCATAACAGAGCATACCCCTACCATACATCTAGCAACAAGCCAAAACACTAGGATCAGACCTCAGGCATCCGACATCCCAATAGGCAAAAGACTCAACCACATTGACTTATGCATATGCATCTTATCATGTTTTACTTATAGGCGTCTGGCTACTCCCATGCTAATAACTCTCCCGGGAAACAATACCCCACATCCCGTCGGATGTAGTCATACATACCCCAACATCCCGTCGGATGTGGTCATACATACCCCACACCACTATGGGTGTAGTCATACCCCGACACCGCTCTGGGTGTGGTCATATCTCGTAAGAATACTTCAGTCACCACCACATGAGAGGTGTGACTATCATACATATCTTAATAGAGTAATAGCATAGGAAGCCCTAATTACTATGTAGTTGACCGTGAGACCACAACACTCATATTTGTTATCCTTATACATGATTCATATCTCATCTTGCTTAATCATAATTCGTTACTTGCACATGTACTTGACCTGGCCACAATTGGCTCAACATAGGTAAATCAGGAGTCGTATAATTGCACTTCCTCGGGATGAACCCTCATGCAAGTCATCCTCCTTAAACATCATAATCACCCTGGGAAGTTTATTCCCCCACTTATGGATCCAAATACAACCATAATATCACATCATGTCAAAACACCTTATCGAACAACCAGGAAGTTATATCAACAGTTAAGCCACAAATGGCAACATGTATGCAGTCATCAACATAAACAAGGTCCATATCGGCTAGGGCAAGTCAATAATATCATACAGCAATCCAGGGTTCAACATATAGCACAAAAGTTCATACACCCCTAATCATGCCATTCTAGTTCACCTAGATCAATTCTAAGCATCAATATAATTATCGTGATACGACAAACCCGGTATGCCGTGCTAATCCCTCACCAGTTCTGGTCGTTCAAACCCCGGTTTAACCTTCCCGTACTAAAACATCAATTTCACGAACGAACCCCGAATCAAAATCCGAGACCGCCCTAATATCCCCTGCAGTATCCCCGTCAATATTAGTTCTAGGCTCCGGATCAAATTCTGGATAAAAACACATCAAATCCTGGCCGAAGCTAAATTCAGCGGTTTGGACCCCGACCTAAATAATAGCCAAAATTCATGGATTAGAACTAGAGGATTAATTACCTTGCCGCAGGAAGCTCGTATATGAAATTTGGGCTCAATCCGGCTTCCGGATACTCCGAAACCCTAATTTGGCTTATCGGGAATTCAAGAAATTCCTGAACCAAAAACTCGTTTTAAAGCTCTAAATCGATAAATCACGATGAATAGATGAATTAGGCATTACTTACGGGATTTTTGGATTGCTAAAGTTCAAGAATCAAGCAGTGAAAATTTTCCCAGAAGCTCCCCCTGTGCGCGGCTATGCTTCCGCTTCTCTCTGGGCTTTGCGAAACCGGAAATGGAAATGGCAGGGGAGGGGGGAAAAGTTGTGTATATATATAGCGGCTGCTGCCGCTTTTGCTTTGCATTTATTTTATATATATATATATATATATATATGGGGAGTTCTACGGTACCCCGGGTAAAATCCGGGGTACCGCATACCCAGGGTGATCTTCACCGTACGTTTGATCTCAACGGCTCTAGATTTTTCGTCATTAAATCACTTATTAATTATAACCATAATTACCAAAACCCTCTTACAAGATATAAATGTTTGCAATTTAGTCTAATTAATTGGTTTGGGTGGGTGAAGTGATTTTTTGGATTGATCTATTGATTCAATTAACCAACCCCAATACCAAACCAAACCCACGTCCCTAGAGAACTAAAGGACACCCTCAATCCACAGACCATCCCTAATTCCCTCTTCTTCTTCTTCTTCTTCCTCTTCCTTCTTCGTCCCGACTGTCCCGCCCAGATCATCCTCTCCTCGCTCTATCAATCCCATCTCGACCCTTCAAACTCCATCTCTCCCACTCCCTATCTCTCAAACCCACTACCCACCTCCATTTGCCTTCTTTTATCCCCTTCGTAGCCCAGACTTCCGATTGGGCGCAGCAGGATGAGCAGAACACTACAGCCACCATTGCTGACTCGGAACAGGAAGAAGAAGGTGAGGATTCGGCCATGCGGTAGTCAAAGGCACAACCATGTTTGTCCATCAGTCTCAATTTCAATCGGTACATATTGATGACTCTGTTTTAATTTTACTGAATCTTCTTTTTGGGTTTTGGGTTTTGCAGGGAGGGGCTTGTTTCATGCGCATATAGAAGCTGAGAGATCGGTTCGAGGGGAATCAAATTATCGATCTTCAGCAGGTTTCTCTACTGTTTACCCCCTTTCTGTTTACTTTCCTTCTCGATTGTGATTATTTGAATTTCGAGTGATTAGCTTGTTGCAGAGTGATTCTGCGCAATCAGGGGATATTTCTGGGTTTCTTATGGGGGCTTGTATGATGAATAAAGGCGGAATTTTTTAGGTTTTAGCTCTCTGAGCTACCTGTGGTTAATTGGTTGGGGGTGGAGAAGAAAGAGTTGATGTCCTATTCTGGTGAAAGTTTTGATCTTTTTCACGTAATTTCCTTATGTGGTTAATATATTCAAGCTTAGGTGACTTGCAATTTGTTTCAATTAGGAACTTTTATTTGGTTCAGGATTTTGGTTGGGAAGAATCTGGAATTGACAGTTTGAGTTCCATCTTCACAGAGTAGTGATAGACATTGCAGACTTGTGTTTTTCAGTATTGTGAGGTTTCGATTTGTCGGTTGACCCAACCACTTTGGGGGGTTTGAGGATATGATTGAGAATTATGACATACAGCTTTGCATAATTTCCCTGGTTCAGTGGATATGAGATTGCTGAGTCATAGGCGTTACATTTTGGGAACTGAAATTTGTCTCAGCTAGATGAAATATCATGCTTTGGTTAACATAGGAATATGATTGAATTGGCTGGAACCAGATATCTTCAAGTCATCCCCTTATTATTTACTAGTGTCCAGACTTGTGCCTGAAGTTGTGTGAATTAAGAGTTCTTATCTTACATGACTGGTCCAATATTTAGGAAATATAAACTTAGAAGATATTTGGAATTCATTATACCTTCTTGTTATTCTCTTAGGGTACTCAACCGGTGTCATCGGGTCCCTTTTATATTGATTATGGACTGTGAATGCAGGCTGCAGCTTATATCTGGAATTCATTATACCTTCTTGTTATTCTCTTAGGGTACTCAACCGGTGTCATCGGGTCCTTTTATATTGATTATGGACTGTGAATGCAGCTTATAAGCAAGACGTATGGATTTATATATCCAAGCTCTAATTGTCATTTAGCTCTGATTCTCTTGTTTGTGAATGTCAGATGCCTGTCTTTCTTGCAGTGTAGTTATACATCACTTAGACTAGCCAATGGCGTTAACGTGTCCCACGTTTCCGCCAGCCTTTGTTCATTTTCTTATAGCACTTTGTGTATTATCCGAGTCATGTTGAATCAGTCATCTTAATATATCTGACATGGTCATTGGATATTGCAGAAGTGAAAATGGACCATGACGAGACAGGCTGCCAAGCTCCGCCAGACCATCCCATACTGTGCGTCAACAACTGCGGCTTTTTCGGAAGCGCTGCAACAATGAACATGTGCTCGAAGTGCCACAAGGATATCCTGCTAAAAGAGGAGCAATCCAAGCTTGCTGCATCATCAGCAGCGAGTATCATGAACGGAACATCAATCACCACCCTTGGAAAGGAACCTGTTGTTGCTCCTGCTCCTGCCCCGATCATCAATGTACAAGTCAGTTTGCAAGAGCCAACACCCATCTCGGTGCAGCCATCTTCTGCTCCAGGTGTGGCAGAGAGCAACGAAGAGAAACCAAAGGAGGTGGGGCCCAACAGATGCAACACCTGCAACACGCAATCGCGAAACAACCCGGGGACTAGCAGGCGTCATCTCCCCAAGCTATAGTGAATGGTTTTCTGCACAAGTTATGTTCCATTGACTGATGAAATAGTTCAGGTGAATGTCTCGCGGGGGCACTCTATGTAGACATCTGTTGTCCGAGACTGTAACGATGTTAGGTTTCCTTGAATTTGTGTGGATATAGTTGTTATGTCAGCTCTTTGTATGTCCACATTGCATTTGGGATCTGGCAGGAAACCCGAACATTGGTTTAGACACAATTACTTGATCCGTAACATGATGGAAACCTCTGTACTGTTTCACTCAATATGTCCAGGGGCTCATAAGTGTGATATAATAAAACATTGTTCCCAGGATTGTATCCCGAAAGGAAGTCAAGTATAGATATAGTTTACTTCCACTGTTGTCAAAAGCAATCAAGTCACATCTATTAATACTAATTTGTTCAAAGTACCATGACTAATCTAAATTCATATTTTACATCAAGCACCCCTCAAAAAGATACTAAACTTACAAAAGATATTAGTGTTCACATATCCATTACGCTTACAGAACACGAGAGATTACAGATAGGTTGACCATTAATAACATTAATCCGATCATATTAATAATACCCAATTGCTACTTAGTTATCTAAAGGCAGGAACAACTTAACCAAGAATAGATCAAAATAATTGCCCACGTTGTTCCAAGGACCGATTGTGACCATGGCTGCATATGACTTGTCACCAATCAAGTTGAGAAGTGTAACATAGTCGGCATTGTCAATCTCAGAAGGACTGACTACAGAAGAAATGATTCTCCGTAAGTATGATGATGGGAACACGACCTCAACATCACAAATGTCATCTTCAATGGTCAAGTGAATCAAGTATACTCTCGATGCATCACACCAAGATCTCCTCAGCTCTGTTACAACGCCAGAGAAAATGTACGAAGTGCCCTGATATAATGCAAAAGATGATGATTTGCAAAAAAATAAACAAATCAGATGCAAATCAATCACAGAAGAGATAGAGAATGATAGATAACAAACATCTTATCTTACTCACTTGATCATCACCATCCAATTGCTTTGGGATTAGATCTAGAGTTTCAACGGTCTCAGACATTGCCACGGCATTTTGATAAGTTAGATTCGTAACAAAATCATCTCCAAGGGTAAAAAACCTATAATTTAGATTATTAGCAATTGTATTAAGTAGTTATGAGAACACAAGAATATGGTTTATTATGAGTTGGTTGGGAAACCATTACTTACGGGTTCCATTCAGGTATGTTGTCCATCTCAAATATATGTCACACTGATTTCCTTCTGCTCAACCTCTATTTTTGGAAGTATCTGCACTTTTAAAATCATAAAAACAAACTATGTTAGTTGTTGTTTGGGACCACAGTGCATATTACTTTTGCAATGTTGAATTAATAACCAATTCGTATTTCAATTGCAAAAAACCAAAGAGACTCTTATCGACTATATCAAAAGAGGATATTGTTCCGACACTAATCAAATAATCATGTACAAATGAAGAGAAGACACATCATGGCCAGGGCAAAATCAAAATAAAAGGGTGTTCGGAAGTATAAATACTTATGCAGACAGCAAACATGTGGTACAACTACAACTGGCACACGCAGCGATGGGAAACCTCCAGATGGGATGGAAAAATCGTTTCCAGTAGAGTTGTGCAACCTATCAGTGCAAACGCAAAATTGAGCCTGCTTTGTAATACAAAGCTCAAACAAAATCCAGCACACAGCTACAGAACGCAAAATTGAGCCTGCTTTGTAATACAAAGCTCAAACAAAATCCAGCACACAGCTAAAGACGTCTGCAACAACTAAGAAGAACTAATCATGTCCCTTATTTAAATACATGAAACCACATTGTATCAGAAGCATGGAAACTAACGCACCTGTGGACTGGAGCTTCTCAGAGGCCTGATAAACCTTCGCTGCTGTTGATGAGAGGAAAGAATAAAAATGTGAGATGCTGGCAAAATATTGAGAATCAACTCTTGGGGATTATAATATTGTCGGCCAGGCACATAGGAGGACAGCCAAACCCGACCATGCAATGAACCAGTCTCCGATTGATGTCTTCGCCGGGAACTGAACACGGGCGCCGAACGGAAGAGGAAGCGGCAAAATCTTGAGAATCAACTCTTGGGGATGCGAATAGTGTCGGTCAGGCAGATAGGAGGACAGCCAAACCCGACCATGCAATGAACCAGTCTCCGATTGATGTCTTCGCCGGTAACTGAACAGAGGCGCCGAAGGGAAGAGGAAGATGAGGCGGAAACGTTTTGTTTTGTGTTTGATAGACTGTATTTCGATGGTTTTAAGTGAATGTGTGTTCTGGCCGGCCAAACCCAACTAATGGGCCTCACCCAAACCCGGCCCAGCCTTACAACTAGCCGGCCAACGGGGAGAACGCGCCTGCTGCACTGTTGGGCCTCTTCGGTGGTCGTAATATTGGTTGTTTCTGATCACAAGCCCTCAACTGCAAAAAGAGTTCTTCAATTCTTCTACTCGTCGGGCCCTAATTAGACAGAACTCTAGGCCGACTTCGATGGATTGGGTTAGTGTTATTGGCTGAAGATTTCTACGCCTTTATATATGGTGCCCAATTAGACATTTACAAAAAAATACAACCTCTAAGGCAATAAAATATGGACATAGAATTATATAATTGATAATTGAACCCTAAAACCTGAACCATAAACACTAAACCATGAACCCTAAACCGTATACCCTGAACCCTGAACACTAAACCCTATACCCTGAACCCTGACCCCTGAACCCTAAACCCTGAACCCTGAACCTTGAACACTCAACCCTGAACCCTGATCCCTAAACCCTAAACCCTAAACCCTAAACCCTATACCCTAAACCCTAAACCCTAAACCCTAAACCCTAAACCCTAACCCTAAACCCTAAACCCTATACCCTAAACCCTAAACCCTATACCCTAAACCCTAAACCCTAAACCCTAAACCCTAAACCCTAAACCTTAACCCTAAACCCTAAACCCTAAACCCTGAATCACAAATTTCCCATACAAATTTTTCACCACCTATCTGTAGAATTCGAGCAAACTCAACCTAACCAGTTATTTAGTGAATCTGTATAAACTCGAAGTTGTGGGCGGGTATCCACGGGTCGATAGGGATGGCAATGGGGCGGGGGCGGGTACCTCAGTTCTAACTCGGGTTTAAACTCTAATCCTAAGTAGATTTTATATCTTAGATTTGTTAATGCTACCACACCAAGTTCATATTTTGATATTGCACACGATTTCCACTTGTACCTATACATTGATATCACATCGTACATACTTGATACATGGTCTAATGTGGGTTTTTAGGTCAAGAACCTTGAACAATAGAGTATTAATCTAATGAACTTATACGAAAAAGAACCTCATTTATATGAGCGGTAACGTTAAACAATTTTCTAGATACTTAAATTGAGGACTTAGGTTTAGAATTTGAAAAAAATAAAGAAACAATGAATATAAATTTTCATTCCCCTATCCCGCCATTTATTTGTTTTGGATTTTCCCAAATCTTGAACCAAATAAAAAGATTTTCCCACCAAATCATGAATTTATTAATTTATGCAGCTTTGAAATAGGAAAGGCTAATTAAACCATAAAGAAAAAAAAGGAAAGGCTTTACTCGGATGGAACACGATGTCGTAGAGGACAATAGAATGAGGGTAACTTTACCTTCCTCATTCGCATACTTCAGTCTTCCTCAGATCCACCCACTTCCTCACCATTGTTCCAGTGCAAAGGCTAACGAAACCAGCACGAAAATCCGAAATCCTACCCTAAAAAAACGACAATCCAAAGATGGAGCTCCAAACAGAACCGCGACGGAACGCGTGCTCGGACTCGCCCAGAAGGTCTTGTTCGCTCTTCCCTCTCTGCTCTCTCGATTCCATTATAGCTTGACGATTTTGGTTTCTCATTTCATTTCATTTCATTTCATCTTGGTTGGCAAGTTGTTCGGATTGCAATCATGTTAGGAACATGCACGGCCAAGGCGTCAACCAATCCCCTCCGTCGCTCCTTCTTCATCAATCCCTCAAGCCCTAACTCCAATATAAGCTCTCCGTCGCCGTCTTTCGACTCCGGCGGCGTCGCCGTCTTTCGACTCCGGCGGCGTTGCCCTGGCTGCCGGTACATAGCCCATCGCAGAAATCGGTCCCCTCTCTTCATCGGAAGCTTTCTCCTCCAGAATTGCTTACTGCGGCTGGTAACATATTTCTCTCTGTTTTCAACTCTGCTGCCATAGACGAAGCAAACAAAAGGGTAGAGCTCGAAATAGTCATCCGATTGCATAATATTGTGTATATGCTACTTCTCTTCTTGGGTTGTTGGCAGACATGAAACAATTTTGTAGTTGATGGCTTGGAATGAAAGAAGGGGTGTAAATTTGGTCTTTCTGAATTCTGCTGTTTCTCTTGGCCTGTTCTTTAGATGGACAATTACCCAGCTCAGCTTTTACGCTGAACTATATTTACTATGAAATTAAGTTGGTTTTTGGGGGGGAATATCCTGATTTGGTTGGTGAATTACTAAATTGGGTAGTTAAGTTCTGCTTAGAATTTAGTCTTACAATGGAATTTAATATGATGGTGACATCTTGATTTCTCGGGCAGGAAGGTAGATGATCAGATGGAGCATAATAGCTTCAGACATTTGCAGCGACCGAAGTTCATCGCTGACAATTTCAACTCGCTAGACCAGGTAGGTACTTTTGTTTATCTGAAAGCTGTTTAAGAAAAAAAAACCGAAGATAAATTATTCTCACACTTACGAAATGCTGTTGAGGTACTCAGTTGGCTCTACGTGTTTCAGGTCATTTCTGCATTGAGAGAAGCTGGTCTTGAGTCATCGAACTTGATCCTCGGTGTTGACTTCACGAAGAGTAACGAATGGTCAGGTAGTGATTCTCTTTCTCAGGTATTAATACGATGTTTAGACCTCCTAAAGTTAGCACGTAGGGTAAAAGTTCATTTCAATGTGGATAGGCAGGTATTCATTTCACCGCAAAAGTCTCCACGCAGTTGGTAGTGTGACGAATCCTTATGAACAAGCGATCTCAATCATCGGGCGTACTTTGTCGCCTTTCGATGAAGATAATTTGATACCTTGTTTCGGATTTGGTGATGGTTAGTCTCCTTGTGCAAATTCCCTTACTGTTGTTTTACATTAAGTGAACGATTGGATCTGATATCTTCCTTATTGTCTTTCCTGTGTCTTCCCCACTCTTACTAGTATCAACACGTGATGAATACGTGTTCAGTATTTATCCTGATCACCGCCCTTGTCGTGGTTTCGAAGAGGCACTTGCTCGATACAGAGAAATCATTCCACACTTACAGTTGTCAGGTTCTTTAATCTCTCTCTATATGTTGTTTAGTGTTTGAATTGAAAGCCAGATTTTGTTCAGCAACATACCAATGATCTTTTTCTTTCTGATATCTCCAGGTCCAACTTCATTTGCACCAATCATTGATGCTGCAATTGACATTGTAGAGAAAAGTAATGGTCAATATCACGTCCTTGTTATTATTGCAGATGGGCAGGTATTTCATTTGTTTTCATGTTCCTAACATCAGAGTTTTCTTTCTGCTGTATCTTCATATGAAAGCTGTCATATCTTAAGTACTGCCGCATATCTAATATGCTTGTTCTCTTCAAACTAACAAATAATGGAGCTTAATGTCAGATAAATTTGAATGGCATTGGACAATTGACCTTAAAGATTTTCTATCTAGAACTAGAATGTAGGCATTGACATGCAAAAATGAATCTTTGGGCTTTCTTTTTGTTTATGATTTGTGGCACTGTCTTCCTTCTCACAAGCCATCTGATGCTAAAAACACAAACCTATGTATACAGGTTACCAGGAATCCTGGTATTCCACGCGGGAGTTGTAGTCCTCAAGAACAAGCAACCTTGAATTCCATAGTTGCTGCCAGGTAATGGACTGTTCGATACTGAATGAATGTTTCAAGGTGCAACTGTGAGTTTTAACTATGTGGCTCTTACTGGTTTTCCATGCAACAGCTATTATCCTCTCTCAATTGTTTTAGTTGGAGTCGGGGATGGGCCATGGGATGCGATGAAACAGTTTGATGATAACATTCCACATAGAGCATTTGACAACTTCCAGGTACGTACTTTCTCAAATATACATCCCTTAGTTTGCTTAGTATCTTGAATCAATTAGTGATTTGGTCAACCAACGATTTTGTAGATAAACTAAATAATAGGATGATGATGCAGAAAAGAATGATCTATTTTGCTGTTATGCTGTATAGGACTCCTGCAGAGCACCATATTAGAGAGCTTGGGATGTATCTGGTTAAATCGTAGCGAGGCAAAGGATCGTGAAACTGTAGGCAAAAAGTAAGTCCCCATTACATAAAACATATTTAAATTGCTTGCGTAGTAGTCTCTCAAGGTTGCTTTAGTAGCAACTTTATTTAGAGTTTAGGTCGCAGAATGATCTAAATACTGTTCTAAAACCAGAATATCCATGATCTTAAAGAACCAAAAAGTACCCAAGAAAGTACCAAAAAATACCCAATAAAACATCCTAACAACCAATAACTCATAACATCCAGTCGAATAACTCAAATAGCCAAGTTGTTTCTCCTTTGCCGTTCACTTCTCGTACGTGGCTTCTTCTACAACATCGAATACACTAACGTTAGTACGAAAAAGATATGGATGCAACAATATTATGTAGACATGCACAAGGAACTCTTAATATTACCCTTTGTTGGTCGTCAATGTCACTAGTACCATCATCCTCAGCACTATCCTCCTCTGATAACTCCGGACAAGTTCTTCTATTGTGTTGTGTTGAACCGCATCTTCTGCAATGTTTTTGTCTCGCCTTAGTTAATGTTTCTGTCTGGTTTTGGATGTCCATGGCATCACCATCCTCTCCGTCTTGATCGCCATTGTTATTGTCTTCTTCCTCAGCCTGTGGGGTTGTCTCTGTAGTAGTCGGCCTTACATACTCAGGAGGGTGTGGACAAGTGGATTTATAATGAGCCCATTCCCCACATCTACTACACTGTCTTTGCTCTCCTTTCTTCTTCTTCTTCTTGTTTTGTTGACCCCCTGAACCTTTATGTTTCACCGGCAATGGATCCAACAACTTCTCTTTTGCCTTCGATCTATGAACGTCTGGTATCTCAGTAGTACCAATGTGCATCGTGTCTAGCGATTCACATAATGATGAAATTCCTTCACGAGCAAACTTGAAGCAATCACTAGATTTTGCTCCTTTTACGCATAATTGTAAGCTGGCTTGTTGAATAATCCCATACCTGAAAGTCAGCATAGTTTAGTTAATGCAGAATATACATGACAACTACAACTAGAGCTTTTATAAGTATCAAAACCATATGAAAACAAGTCGGCTGGAAAGTATAGCTCATGATATCATAATCAAACCTCCCCACCAGCTCAGAATACTCCAAAATGATAGAGATTCTTTAGTAGAGAAATAAAGTAATAGAGGAAACTTCTCAATTTCTCTGATCAAACTTTTTCTCTGATCAAACTTCCCAATTTCCAGCCCACCTTGTTTATGGTTTTCCTCAAAGGGGAAACTTCCCAATTGCATTGCCATCATTGCTAGCTAGCTAGCTAGGCTGAAGCTAGCCTCCACAGCCCTGATAATAAGACAATTAATAAGACAATTAATTGCTTTATAGAATAATCACAAACCTGAATGTGAAAAGTCGGCCCTCATCGATATTATCTTGTTGCGGTAAACTCTCCAGTGTCTTTGGCTGCTGTGACCACCTTAACCGTACCAAGTCTTTTGGAAGTTCCAGTATCCCCTCTTCTTTTAGTAGAAAAACCATATGACAGCATGGTATCCCCATATAGTTGTAATAATTACAACTACACTCCATGGAAAAGGGGTCAGTTCTGTATTCAACCCGGAAAACCTTCTCTTTGCCAGACATTGTCATCCTGTACGTGCGCTCATTTGGCGATACCTCTGAATCCATTCTTATGCAATCTCCAGACTTTTCAACCTCATCTCTAAATAAAAAAATGCCTTTTTGTGAATAAGGCAGCAGCACTCTTCTGAAGTGATACTAAGACATTGGACGTAATGCTCCGTTCATGATGAATGGATTCAAAATCAGCGTGTAGCTCAATCTCCCTCATATCTCTACTCCAACGATCAAAATTAATAAAAAACTCAAGTAGATTGTTATCATTTTGGATATAATTGGTCAGCTGGGAGTTCATTCCTTCACATCTAGAGGTAGCAGCATCACCTTCACGAATCTGTTCTCTTCGTTCTTTGTCCACATAGTTATATGCATCTTTCCTTGTGAACCCCACCTTCTGATAGCCTCCAGCTTCTGCAACGGCTAGTGAAACGATTTGATGCGTTTTCATGCCTGCAGCTCTTCGAAAATTAATTGACGCTTTAATTGCATCACTCATACGACGATTCCCTTTCATGTAGTGCTTGTACATCTGGGGAATCAGTGCATGAGAGTGTTCGTTATCAAAAGTGTCCACAAACCAATTCGAAGTAGACTTGTCATATCGAACACGCATCCTAGCATTGCAGTCAAACCTTGTCTCTGCTCTTGGCTCTCTCTTTCGTGTTGTCTGTTTTTTACGCCTTTTTCCCTCACAAGAACATACAAACCAGCGCCATATCGGGACATTGTCCTTATCTCGACCGATTTCCTCTTTTCTAACATCAAACCCAGTGGCCAGCCCGTAGTCCCTCCAGAAATCATATGCTTCATCTAGATCTTTGAATCTGAGTTTCATAATATCTTCTGTCTGTAGAAGTAGTAGATTGGCAAAATCATCTTCCTCAAAATTTGAACTAGTATCCCCGTTTGGAGGAGTTCCCTGCGCTTCCATGTACTCGGTGTTAGGATTAGAAGAATTGTTGTCATCGTTTGGATGAGGTTCATCCGCTGCCATGTCCTCCTCGGTGTGACGATTATTAGCATCATTGGCATCGTTTGGATTAGTTTCCTCCTCTGCCATGTTCGTGAGATGCTTTGTTCAACTTTGAAAATCGCAGCTAACAAGTATTGATTTCCCTACGCCTCTAGGGATCTTACAATATATATTAAGGGGTTTGATAAAAAGAGGCCCTCCACGTCAGCCCTCAAGGCCTTCTTTGTTCAGTTTTGTAATAAGGCTTCCCGCATTAGAAATAAACTGGCCACAATTTTTCTCCTTCCTTTTCTGTTTAATTAAATAGATTTGTCAATCCGATACTCTTTTTTTTTTAACATTAGTCAAACCCAGACCGAGGTCAGTATACATAGTCAGAGAACATAATCTATTCACCTTCATAAAAAAAAAAGTCAGAGAACATAATCAATTCACAGGCGAAATTCGACTAGTTTAATAGAAATTTATGACAGATGTAGTTTCCATGTTCATAACAACTTCTCTTATTATGTTTCATTAAATGAGGGGATAAATGTAGAAGTTCCCTGGGTCCGAATAAGACTTGCCACAATGAACTTCTACGCTTCTACTTTATTCCTAAAGAGAGAGAGAGGGGTTAAAAAGCCCCTATGTCTCGGCTATTAAACCACACCATTCGAATGACAGCCAATACCTCTGCCTAAGCACTTAATTAAATCACAAACCCCCTGTTCCATTCGAAAGTTAGCACAAGTCATTTGCGTTTATAACATCATGGGGAAGGAAGGGTATAGTTCTTCAATACTCTTTGTAATTACTTTTAACTTATGTTATGTGATTTTGGTGTTTTTGTTCTCCTCGTCCACATGTTGATTTTTTATACAATGATATTAGGGAGGAGATCAATATGCCCAACAATATTTCTCGCGGCCAGTGGACTACACGGCTAACGCGTTCTGCATCAAAGGCTTTGAACTATGTATCGCCCGCGAAGAAAACTAAACTGGGAGATGATGTGACCCCCCCAAGGACGCCGTGCTCGAATGTGATTGTTCTTGACGGTGAATCTGGAGTTGACCATTACGAGAAAGATGTGGGAAACAAAAGCAATTTTCCAGCACAACAATTGTCGACGAAGGTATGGTAATCCAAAGTAAACTAGATAACTTAAACCTGGCAGTTTCACTTCATGATTCCCTCTTCGTGATGTCTATATTATGTTTGGGGTTTGATGGTTCCGCCTGTCTTCATAGGATCTCTCTATATGTGGTTGGTTTAATCCTTACTTGAATCCTACTGCCATATATGAGAGTTGAGTTTGGGGTTTGATGAGATGGAGGATTAGAAAAGCACACCAGAATTCTTAACTCTCTTAAAATCAGTGGGAGAGGTTAGGTCAACAGCTAAATTGCTTCAAAAGCTTTGTTTGTTCTGTTTTTGTTTCAGCTGGTGATGTATGCATACTGAACTTTCTCAGTATTGAATGGCTTGAGTTTCATTTGAATGCCACTTAGTAGATCTGCTGTTTAATTGGCCTTACTGGATACTATTATATGTTTCTAGCAATCACTTTGGTTGCTGTGCAAGTTTACTTGCAATGCTGATGGTGATAAGTTCCCTCACTAATGGACTTGCCTCACGAGGATAATTATACTTTTTGGGATGTGATTTCAACTACTCATGTCAACATTTTAACTTCTTCAGTTCTTAGGATCATTATCTCTGTGAATTAATTGCTGGTTGATACAAGGCTACAACTAGATACTTCTTATAATTATGTTTATGCTTTTTAACTGTTTGTATCTACATTTTCTAATTAAAAAGATTTGGATCATGCATTTCAGTAGCCATGCCTGTATCTTTGAATTTGATTATGCCTTCTTTTCCCCAATCCCCATCACATGATATTCTTCTAAGTACCTTTTGATGTTTATTGCAAGCTTAGTTATAGTGAACGCTCGCATTTATTTGTCCATTGTTTCATATAAAAAGGGCAGATCCTGCTTCTCTGTATGTTACAAGCATTGCTATTGGTTTGCCTTGAAGGATTCCATTTTCGGTTCAATCATCCCTCCATTTCATGTATGAAGAGTATAATCAGTGTTGTTTTAAGTAAATGAAAAAGCCCTTCCACATTGGCGTCCAGTTCTATATATTACATTACTACAGTCTCGAGCAATTTTTGGCTTATGAGCAATAGTGGGCATTGCTGTCAACTAATGCCGTTACCCATCATTGTAGGGTACCACCAGGTTTAAGCTCCCTCAAACCGTAAGCTACAGT